GTCCCCACCGTGCAGCATAGGAGAAAGGTGTCCTGTCCCTATTATCTAACCTGTCGGGGTTGGTATCCTTCCGTCCCAGCAATAGTTCTACCATCGCTTCATGTCCCCGCCCGGCAGCATAGGAGAAAGGTGATCTGCCTTCGTAGTCTGGCCTATCAGGAATGACATTTTCCCGTCCAAGCAGTAGTTTCGCCACCCCATCATGTCCCCGCCCAGCAGCATAGGAGAAAGGTGTTCTGCCCTCCTTGTTTGGCTTGTCGGGGTTGACATCTTTCCGCCCCAGCAGTAGCTTCACCACTCCTTCGCGTCCCCACCCAGCAGCATGCGAGAATGGTGTCCTGCCTTTGTTGTCTGGCATGTCGGGAATAACATCTTCCCGTCCCAAGAGTAGTTTCACCACCCCTTCATGTCCCCGCCCGGCAGCATAGAAGAATGGTGTTCTGCCATCATTGTCTGGTCTGTTGGGGATGACACCTTCCCGCCCTAGTAGTAGTTTCACCACCCCTTCATGTCCCCATCCAGCCGCATAGGAGAGGGGTGTTCTACCCTTTTTGTTTGGCATGTCGGGGATGAACCCGCTCCGCCCCAGTAGTAGCCTCACCACCCCTTCATGTCCCCGTCCGGCAGCATGGGAGAAAGGTGTGGTGCCTTTATTGTCTGGACTGTCGGGGATGACATCTTCCCGCCCCAACAGTAGCTTTACCACCGCTTCATGTCCCCGCCCACCAGCATAGGAGAAAGCTGTTCTGCCTTTGTTGTCTGGTCTATCAGGGACAACATCTTCCCGCCCCACTAGTAGTTCCACCACCCCTTTATGTCCATTGTAACCAGCCCAGGGGAGTGGTGTTCTGCCTTCGTCGTCTGGCCTGTCGGGGATAACATCTTTCCGACCTAGTAGTAGCTTCACCACCCTTTCATGCCCATTACGAGCGGCCCATCTGAGCGGTGTGGCTCCCACGCGGTCTGTTCGGTTGATATCATAATCCTTCCTCTCGATCAAAGCCTTCACAACCTCATCGATCCCGAAGAAGCATGCGCAGTGCAGTGCAGTGAATAGCGATGGAGCAACGATATCACTGGAAAGGTTTTGATGCTCCACCTGCTGGAAAAGTGATTCGGCGGCTATGTGATTTTCGTACTGGTCTAGAAGCTCCAACGCGAGATGCTTCCCGTTATCCGAGAGTTCCTTTTTCGCATGAGTTCCCCAATATCTCGAGGAATATTGGAGGAAAGGTGTACTCTGGGGGTTATTGATGGACTTTGGCGAAAGGTCCTTGACTTGGCGCGAGCTCAGATAGGTCAAACAAACTTCTGACATTTCTGAGTGAGCCCCAGGAAATAGGTCCGGATGAGCAGAGAGGTACTCTTGGAGAGTAAAGTGGATTAACCGCACAATTGATGCTTCCCTGTCTACCGCGATCAAGCCTTGACAGCAGGACAGCAATGTATTTATTAAAGGAACATTGTAGGGGTCGAAATCCTTTGATCCTATCTCTACTGCAAGCGCATGGCACAACTCACCCACCTCCAATGGCCGTTCTGAGTGACATATCCACATTAATGTAGCCATCGCAAGTTTTGCCTTCTCTTCGCCTTGTGCGTTTATCCTTTCGAGAGTTGCGCGATATGCATCATCCAACCCCAAGCCATCTGTCATTGCCTCGAGTCTCCTTCGCCTCCGGGATATGGTTGTTTCCCGCAGGATTGCCTCAATATGGAGCGAAACCAGTAAAAATCTAGATTTATATCTCTCAGCGAATCATTCAAGGTAACTTTCACGGTGCCCCAGACCTACATACGTTTCTGGGTTTGTTTCGGGTATGCTCTTTATAATTTCTGCCCTTAGCCTACCATCCATTACCTCGGGGGTCGTATCCTTGCTCAACCTCGCCTGTAGGTAGGTAATGATATCGTCTTGGGTAGGCTTTATCGATAGGCTAGCTACAATGAGACCAAGTGGTCTCTCAATTTCATCCCGGATATGCGACCTCCCAGTCATGAATATTCGAGTGTTTGGTGACGTCCGGAGGAGTCGACCTAGTGAGCTAAGAACCTCGAGTCGATGCGCTGGCACGCATTCGTCAATAGCATCAATGCAGATGAAGTTGCGCTGTGTGGATGAAATACTCTGAAAGAGATGGACAATTTCAGGAGGTTGCAGCCCTCGACCGCCCAGGTTTTTCTTCTGGTCGTGGAATTCTTGCACTATCTCTTCCGGAAACGATTTCAGCCCACCCAGAAGCTGTTTCAGGAGGGAGCCCAGCATATTCACTGGGGACTGCACCTCTCGGGCAGCGAAGTCAAAGTAGAAACCAGTCACAACTATGTTTTGGCTTCTGCGCCACTCACATAGGGTTTCTATCACCAGGGAGCCAGCACCGTAACCTGTAAGCGAATACCTTTCTCTGATTTTGCCTCATTAATCAACTCACGTGACGTGACTCTTGCCGACCCCCGGATCACCGTAGCAGAATAAGATGGCACGATCAGATTCATCATTTCCACAACCATTATACCATCTTGTGAATTCCTTGGTTTGAAGGACCCAGTCTCCCACTCCGTCCACCCGCCGGGCTTCAATGTCTTGATGTCGTGCCCGTGGCTCTAGAGGGGACAGCCAGTCCAGGATTTTAGACCTATCATCATCGGCAATGCTATAGTTGTTAGTCGTCGTCACATTGAACGAGCTACTGATGTTGAAGGAGCTATTGTTATTGGAAAAGGCTCTAGACATTTTCCCGCAATGCTGGAGAAGACAAGATGTTGATTGACGGAATTCCTAGGAGTAGAGGAAAAGCGGGGCTTATAGCAAAACCTTGTTTTCCCACTGACACAGCCCAACGAATCGATGAGCGCTCTGTGAGACTCGCCTCAGAAGGCTTGCAGCCATTTCAGGGTAGTCTACTGGAAGACAGAGACTCCTCAGCTCGCTTAGCCAACCAATCACACAACTAGCGCCCGTAAGATATTACCACACATCAAAGTGAAAATTTGCTCAAGTCAAGTTTTCCTCCTAACTAATTTCATTAACGCATTTTAGCAACCACCGATACCGGTATTTCTATAGGTTGTGGCGGAATTTCCTCAACACGAAACCCTAGCCACCTTTATACGACTCACCATGAAAGGGGGGGGAACACCAAAATTGAGATAGTTGATCCAGCCTCGGTACAGTACTTTTACAACACCATTCCCACCTGTTTGGTAGTTGTTCTAATGTGAATTTCAGGGACAGGATTTAGTACCTTATAAGTAGCATTGGAGGAACAAGCGACTTACCGGGGTCAAATGCCATTGTGGGGAGAATTTGCAAACTTGAACCAGCATACACTCAAAATTTCCCTTTTACTTTGAGTGCAAAGGCAACCGATACTAGGATGCTGTTCACATAAATGTCTCTACTAATGCTCTCATTTGTAGTGAGTGTGTCTTCAAAATCTCCTACTATAATGTTGCTTAAGAGATCCACATTAGGGCTCACATTAAGGATGTAAAGGTGGGCATTATGTTAAGGATTGACATCTCGGAGTTGGGGACAGAAGGGGTGGAGGTAAAGGCCGATAGTATGAGTGCTAAGCTGGATGAGATGAGCGCCTACCCGAGGACACTAAAAAAAGTAGCAGTGCTTCTGTGCACATAACATTTATCGAATCGGTAGGTACGAGTTTTAGCATTGATAGATTTTTATTTCTATTTTTACTGGTTAATCATGCCAGCTCAATTATTATTTTTAACCTTTCTTTGAATTTTCATTTTATCGAGTGATATAAGAACCTGCATATCTGATGCTTTTAACCGCACTGTAACTTCTAGCAATTAGTCTACTTCGGCCAGTCATAGGTATTCCAATGCTTGTGCGCTACATTCTTCCCTAAGTCTTGCTAACATGCTCCCGCAAAACCTGTTATTTCCTGGTGAGGATAACAAGGGTTCACGAGAAAGGATACCTTAGGAAGGAGAAGGGAGGGGGGGGGGGGGGGAAAAAAATAAACAAAATAGCTAGCGGAAAAAAGCATAAGCATGTAATATAATACTGAAAGAGTATTTTTTGTTCCTAGAAACAGAATCTGATGTAGATGATCAGTAAAGTTTGTATTGAAAACAATGGGAAGAAAAAAGGAAAGGAATGAAAATCAAGCAGTTTGTATCACAGGGAAGAAAGTAGCACAGTCCTTCAGCTATCTTTCACTTCGTTGTACACAAGTCAATTTCACTCGGTTCGTGGTTCGCAAGTTTGTATTCGTGGTTCTCGTTATTGTTGATTCACTTGCTTAGTTACAGGAATGAATTTTCTTTTCTCTTCTCTTAGCACAAACTTTCCAGCCAAGTCCAGCTCAACAAGCCCTTCCCACCATATCAAAAAAAAACCTAACTAAAAACATAATTAAACCTTGTCAAGATTTTCGTAAAAATGCAGAGCCTCGTTTCCACCTCCACAATACTAAGTCTTGTAATAATTATAATAATATTTTCCGGTGGGTTAGGGTTTTGTCTCTCAGCACCCTGCTAGATGCATGATATGCACTGTATGATATCGCTTCGTTGGTATGATACTTGCTCCTCTACCCCCTTTTTCGGACTCCCCGCTATTTGGGTTTGTATCCCCTAGACTTCTAACCCCCCGCCCAGGGTTCCGATACCGGCGGTAAATCCTACTAGTGCTGTAATATGTCGTTGGAGATCTGTGGAACATTTACAAGTTCCTAGCTTGAATTCCATTGGCTATAGAAACACCGCTCCTATCATTTGCCGAATAGGGGAGAATAACTTACCGGGGGAGTTGCCGCTTATATTTAGAAATTAGTTCACCATGGTGATATTATGATGGAGAGACTTGAATGAGATTCTTGTGTGAGGAACAAAGCACTAGCGTATTGTTTAATTGACGTCACTCTCACTCGTGAAACATGGCAGGGTTGCTCCAGCACACCGTCTCTACTCCCAAAGACCAATAATGAAACATAACCCATATCTCACCTCAATATCCTACCCCCTTAGGTCTACAGTGTATACAAAAAGTCTGGTCTCTGATCCCCTAGATACTCTACCTCCTTCCTATTAAGGCCTTGTACCCAAGCATCCCTCTCCCCGTTCCTCCGCCTCTCATTCTCCCTCCTCAGAAGCACCCAGTTCAGCACGCTCCCACCTAGCAACCCAATCGCAAGATAGCCCAACACTATCCCATGACCGAGCCTGTAACGCGGTGCGTCAACCTGTCTATAAACATTACTACTCATAACCCCATTCAAATTTCCCCAGCCAATCACGAAACCCAGCGTAACCCCACGTTTATACACCCCTTCGACGTTATTCGACACCCAGGTAATTGTATTCGGAATACAGGGGTAAATCCCGAGGGCACCCAAGAAAACAGCGACGTAACTCAGCGCGGCGGAATTCGACCCCAGGAGAATGCTGAACCCCGCAACACCCAGCAGTGAAGTAGCGATATTAAACACCCCACGACGGTTATTCCTATCAGCCCGCCAACCAACCAGAATAGTCAAAATGCAAGCGGCAGCATACGGCGGCACGCTGAGCAGCTGCGCACGCGTGGCCGAGTACCCCATCTCTTTGATAATGGAAGGCAAGAAAAGACTGAATGCGTAGAGGGCTCCATCGACGCCCATGTATATCAGCATCCCCGTGTAGGTTTTCCAATCTTTGAGGGATTGCCAGAGGTAGAGCGTTTTGAAATCTTCGTGTTCTGCTGAGGATTGTTGATCGTCACGGAGACGGCGGAGGACCCTCGCGCGGTCTTCGGGAGAGAGAAATTTGGCGTCGTCCGGGAAATCCACTACTACCCAGAAGGAAATTATCCCTATGAGGGCTGTTGCGAGGCCTTCGAGGATCTGTTGGGGGGGGGGGTCAGCAAGGGAGGAGGATGAGGGAAGGGGGAAGGGGGGAGGGAGAGGTTACGAAGATCCAGGCCCAACCGCGCTTACCGCCTACTCCGTCCATTTTAGATATAGCGGCTGCGAGGAGACCGCCGAAGGATCCGGAGACGGCAGCAGCAGAGAACTGGGACTATTAGCGGCGGGGTAATATACATAAAAAGGAATTTGTGCAAACACATACGAAGATTGCGGCACGGATACCAAATTCTCGGCGTTTATACCAGCAGGATAGGTAGTAGTTAACTCCTCTACCACACAATGCTTAGCAACTGTGAACCAATTGAAGTTGAAGGAAACTCACGGGAAAAGTCCCTAATCCAGCCAAAAAGCCGTAAGATGAGTGATACCCAGTGACATGAAATCAGACAGGTAACAAAAACTTACAGCCTCAGTCAATCCCAAAAACCTATCATAATATGACACCAAAAACTGTCAACTCCAGCTCTGCCTTGGGGGAAAAAAAGAAGGAAGGGGTACGAGTTCTCGTATCGGGGAATAAACCATCTAGCAGCCATCATCTCCGAAAAATTACGACAAAACCCCATGAAAGTCATACAAATCCCCCAGAGCACCATAATCAATGGGATATAGATTCTCGGCCTCATTCGCTTCAACAAGATATTCGAGATTGGTTCGAAGAGCTTTTCCCCCCCGATCCCCCTAAGTCAGCCTTATGCTAAGCCTCACTCGGTAGCATACATAGCCCATGGGTACAGTACATACAGCGTACGACACAAAAAAAATGGTAAGACAGGCATTATACTGCCCGCTCGTCATTCCAAGATCGTCGACAAGTCCTTCGATTTTGGCGTTGCCAATATTGGTTCCTTAAAAGCCTCCTCTTTAGTCAACCTAAATCACTACGATTAGATAGATGGGCATCCCACGGTCCAAAAATGATGCCAGGTACAGAAGACATAACCAGGGAATAAGCCTCATGTCCAACTTCCGAACGAGTTTTTTATCCTATTCACCGTCACCACTCATCACGCGTCAGCATCCTCGCAAAGTCATATTCATATAGGATCGGGAAAAACGAACAATAGCTTTCCTCTCAGCATCGCTTAATCCTGAGTCTGGATCTGCTTCTTCGAAGTAGTCTCCGTTCCTGTCTTTAGCCTCTAGTGACGCGGTTTTGGCACTGTATTCTGCCATGGTGGAGATCTGCGTTGTGGCCTGAGGCAGGAGAGAGGGAGGAAGTGAGGGTTTTGGAAAAGGCGGGGGGGGGGATGGGCGTTTTATTTTATATCCGGGGGGATTGCCGGGTTTGAGGATGCGTACTGTTCCCACAGCACTTGCGCAGCATACCATGCCCTACCCCAGTGTGTGTACTTTCTTTCTGCCGGTACAGCACCACAGCTCAAAGCACCATATTTGTACTATATACTTGTAGCTTTACCTTTGCTATCTTGTCTTCTTACTACTTTCATATATTTAATTTTCACAACCCATTTCTTCCTTTCCCCCACTTTTTCATTCAATTATGCCTCGCACGCACGCCTCACGCTCACGCATGCCGGTGTGTAACACGCAGGAGGAGTTGAAGGGATCATCCGGTTGTCTGCGTCGGGAATTTTATATCCGGAAGGTAAGCTAGCTTTGGGAGTTTGTGGTTGTGCGGGGAGTCTCCTCTCCTCGTACAGGACGAGCAGGTCGCAAGACTGATGTCACCACTGCACTGTGCTGTATGTATCATACAAAACAGGGCGGCAGGGGATAGATAGCCTTACTTGTTACTTACTGTATCAGTGGAAATCTTATACTTTTACTCGAGTTGAACAAATGGTTGCCAAGACGGGCGCTTCGGCTATCTCATGCAGTACTCGTAATTATTATACGAGTACTGTGCTCGAGTATGATACCGCGTTTGGCGAGAGACAGTTGGACGGTTGTGGCTGGCATGGCGATCGCTTATTTCCGATGGAAGTGTTCTACGGTACTCGGGTATGATAAGGAGGGAAACTGAGGCTGGATGTCTGGAACCCTAGGGTGGGAAAGTACGGTACAGTACTAGTACTAGTATGATACTCCCGCGGCCGAGTCGAGGTTGGACACCCAAGGTGACAATTCCCATAGAATGTGTCCAACTTCAACTCCGCCGCGGGCGTACTGTACAGTACATCTCAGCACTCTACTCGAGTATAACAACGTGTTCCTTTGCAAAATCGCTACCGGTACTGTTGAACACTATCCACTCTGCCATCATGACGAAGAGAATTGCCCACCAGCTATACGGGTAAAATCTCCGATATTCCAATACTGGTAAGATAAGTTCCCTCTCAAGCTTATCCGGAGAGACAACACCAACTACTATTATAGTGATCCGGGAACTCTAGAGTTCTCGTAGAAGTACGATATTATACTTGTATTTAGGGGGGTCAACATAAGTGAGGCGAACAGGGGTTTAACTGATCAAAATTTGGTGAGTGTAACCATAGAAAGGGCGCATCTTTGCCCAATAACGCTTTGTTCGGATGGGGAAAAAAAGTCGGGCGAATGCAAAAAATTCCGACCTAGAAACTCTTTCATTGGCTGAATGACCTAGAAGCCAATGAGAATCAGTTCGCCTGGATTACCTTTAGTCTAACCCCAGAGTACGAAGTGCTTCGTACTAGTAATCCTCCCTGTCTTCACCTCAGCACCTGACTACTCACGTACAAAGTCTTGGTATTCATATTTTAGCCCACTCCCGAACCGGGCAGAACTCCGCCTCTCCCCGCACCAACAAAGGCAGCCTACCAAGTCACTTATACCAGGATGCTCAAGCCAAGCGTATCGTAAATTTGAAAACCTCCCGGCAACAGTTCTACAAGCATCATTTAACCAAAAATCCCCCCCCACAAAACTACCCCACCAAAACCCCGCGCCATCCCATGAGCATCATTAAACATTGTACGAGTAGAGTACGAGTATAACAGCCCTCGATCATCGGCATTACCAAAACGGAACAATCCAACCACTCTTTCGTTGGGTTTTGGAGAAAACTATCCATCCCTTTTCATCCCATCACTACATCATACGCCCGACGAAAGCGAGCGATCGAACAGCAAGGTAGTATTGTAATACCGCACCGTCGCAACCCTGGCTTTTCCTCGCCAGATAATAATTCATAATTCGCCCAACGGGGAAGTGCTATCGTAACTCCGAAATCCCGGATTGGGAGTCCGCAGTAAGGGCTTCGGGTGCGGTTACGCGATGGCTGGGAATAAGGCTTTGTTTTCCGTACCATGCTCGAAAGAAAAGTTTGGGTCGCCAAGTTACCATAGGTCCGGGTCCGGGTTCCCAACCGAGGTCGAGAGTGTGGGGATGAAGTTGGAAGAGTGAATTCGGAGCACTGTACTGTACTCCACGGTGGCGGGTGTCTATAATCCATCAGAACGAGAGTTTTTATGTGAGAAATGGTCATAGAAAGGAACAGTTGCGGTATTGCTAAACAGGCCCTTAGTAGTCCGTCCATAATAGTGATACCATACCTCGGCACGGCAATCTTTGGCTCGGGTGGCGGGCCCGTGGGCGATGGCAAGGAATAGAAGTGTGAGATGGGGAGTGGTGCAGATGGAAAGATGATATGATATGAGTGATCTCTCTTGTTCGCAGCCTCCCCCATAAGGATTCCAAAAACTATACGCAAACGAATGGGATAAAAGAGCTGGGTAGGAATCTCAATGTTTAAATTTTTGGGTCTACCTTCTTCTCAGGAATTAATTTTTAGGACCTTGCCCCCACTGCCTCGAATGGTGACAACTTCAAGAGCAACCCACAATCCGGAGGAAGCAGTAATGTGGTAACGACTCCGTTCGGGACTCTGTGTGATTGCTGAGTACTCGCCCGTGTTGTGCATATGAGCGCGGATTGAAGCCGGACATGCCCGTAGAATAATGATCTGTGAGTGAGTGAATTGGCAAGATTGGTTATGCGCTGCCATATATTATTATCCTCGAGTGCGGTGCTAGTACTGAACATAGTTGGATAGAGATTTAGGTCATGGGCAACGGCTGCCTACAGATTTATGGCGTGAGCACTAGAACTGCCTCCCGCGTGAAGAGAGGAGCCCTCAGTGCTACTCCAGATCCTCATTGTTTGATGTAGAAATCCCCTTGCTTACGGGAATTTTAGACAGCGGCGACACGTGAAACCATGATGGAATGAAACTCTGTCGAAATAAAGCTACAATCAGCAACGCAACAAACCCGAGACTCCAATCATTGGTGCACAATTTTGTGGAAAGTTGGGAACCCCCCCCCCCCCCCCGTTGGACTTCCTAGTTCCCAGTGGTTCTATCTGTTGACCTCTCTGATCGACGAATCGCCTATTTGATGAGATGGAATGATGGAATTTTCATGTGCCCCGCGATGAATACATATGTGGGAGTGGCTGAGGATGAGTAAAGGGTGAGCTATATTTTCCTATGCGTGGTTGGTGATAGTTCCAGTTTGTATCCTAAAAAAGGCCCTGTTCGGCGTACCAGAATACAAGTACTGTACCACACCGGTAGTATTTCTGATATTGCGGCATATTTTTTGTGGCATTTTCATATTAGTTTTGCGGGGTCTTCAGAATGTCACGAATACTTGAGCACTTGTACCTTCCCCGACCCCCTTCGTACTCGAGTACAGTATGAGCACAGTACTATGTTATATGGGGTGTTTGCCTAAGTGATTGTGATTTGAAGTGCCGGTTTGAGATTCCGTCTTGGCAACTTTAACTTAGATTCTTACCTGCAGATCCAAGCAGGCACAAGATTAATAGTAGGGATAATTTAAGGAACAGTTGCCAAGACACAATCTCCAACCGCGATTTCAAATCATAATGGTGCAACCAAACACCTCCTTCCAGCAAGTATCTTTTTAAAAAAATAAAAATAAAATAGAAAATGTGTACTATCACACAGAATTCTTTTATCATATAACAGTACTCTTTTCTTGTGGAATGTAGGAGGGGTATACGAGTAGGGGAGGAAAAAATTATTTTTTTAGGCTACCCGAGTAGTTGAGTGCCGTAGTTCATAAATATCATGCTTGTTCATGCCGAACGGGTTCTAAAAAGGCTAGTGTGATCTGGGCCTCTGCGAGTGCATCTAATCTAATCTGGTCTCTTGCTTCGGCCCTATCGCCAACCACCTGCGAATCACAACCAACATCCCTAGCACACTAGGCTGAACTGAAGGCAGATTTCGAAAGAAAGAAAAAAAAGCAAGAGAGAAGTGAAATTAACGGATATCAGAGACTTGGTTGAAAATACTGTTGGATTCTTGGTCCCCGTCATCTCAGTTATCTTCCAAACTCTTGGTAGTCTCTTTGCTTGTTTCATGATTGTGAAGTTAGGAGATCAGAATATCTCCAAGCTATTGTTTCATTCATTCATTTGAAACTCGCTACCTATTGCTAGTAAAACTTTTACTTCTAGTGGGAGAAAATATTTCTCCCCCTTTCCGGGCGGTGAGGATTTTCACTCACATGGACTTGATATTGGAGGAAACAGATCCTATTAAGGAGAACCTGATCATGTAATTAGAAATGATATGTGAACCAGAACTTCAATCTTCTTCCTTTGTGAACAACCCAGAATTTGAATCTCACTCTATCTATCAAATTATGCAATTTTCTCCTCTCTTATCAGTCTGTTTTTCTCCCGGTGGTACATATTACTATTATCTTCAATTCTGGTACATACTCGGGTCGAGATTTCGAGCATGGGCAACGGCTACCTACAGATTTATGAGGTATTTGCATGCCACTGGAGTACTAGAACGGCTACCCTCTTGAATAGAGGAATTCTCCTCGGTGCTATGATACCCTAGTTCCTCATTATCCGATGCATGAATCCCGTTGTTTATGGCAATTTTAAACAGCGCCAGCTTGTGAAACAGAGACGGAATGAAACGGCAACAAAATGAAACGAAACAATGATTACTAACGCAACCGAATCGAGACTCCAATCACCAGCGCACAATTTTTGTGAAAAGTGGGGTAGATTACTCGCTATCATCCAATTCTCTCTCCCTGATATCGCTTGACTTGATTAACTAACTAAACGGTAAAGACAGGGGTATATATGAATCATGGCGAAGGGATCCTCCAATTCTTCAGGTTTTTACCTGTCACTTTACATAACCTCTCTCTTCCACCTATGTCTCCCTTTCCTCTGCGTACTCTCAAGCGGAACCAGTATAATAGAATAATATCAATCAAGCTAACAGGGGCAAGACAATCCTCGTGAAGACTCTAACCGTTCATAGCATCTGCTCCGCTCCGCTCGTTCAGAAAGGAACACTTGCGGCAGATACATCATTTCCTCTCATGAATGCGTTAATCCAGAGCGCATCTCCGAACCCTTTATCCAAACAAGCGAAACCTTCACCTAAACAAGAGAAGCAATGTCCTGCGTATTTGAGCACCCCGAGTAGCACCGACGACCCCCACATGGAATAGATCTTGAGTGTGAAATTGGAGATATATCGAGATGTGTAGATGGATGTCAACAGGTATGTAGGCCGGCCAGTCGCTATGAATTAATGCAAAAACTAGCGTTTTCTTTGCTATATCCACATACATCACTCCCCTCGGCACCTTTTTTACATTAGACATTTATAGAATCGCCAATCGTTATAGTACTTTGTGAGGGTGTCCAGCTTCAACTTGTCGGTACAAATACAGTACAAGCATAGTTAAGAGGTCCAATCCGATCGTCGAATCATCTCGTAAGATAGTAGTCCCCTCGCCTGCACTCCACTACAGTCCCGGACAAGAAATAGGAAGTAGAAAACACTATCAAGGGATCAATGATACCCTACGTGTAGAAGATACCGTTGTACTCCCTTGCTTGGCAGAAGATGACCCCTTCCACCCGCCAAAACACAGCGCCCCGGAAGGCAAGCAGAACACAAGCCAGGGAGAAAGGGAATTTTACATGTAAAACAGCTCCATGAGAAAAGGCACAATAGTGAGCACTACAGTGTGCTAAGGCCTGTGGTGGAGTGACCCCAAACTGACGGAGGTAAGGAGGAAAGAGCGAAGAAGAAAGAGATTTTTGCATCATTCTCTTTCCACTACCCTGGCGATCATGGACCTCATCCCCGTGTACGGTCCAGAGTTGGATTCTACCGCCTCATATCATAGGTATCCCAAGTAAAATCACAGCGGGAACGGATACCTATCCCGCTCCCAGGTAGATTTGTGTATTCCCCGTCTGAGGCAAGGGCCACAAATTTATCTTACTGTTCACCAATCATATCCCTGGGGAAATTACACTCTCAAGAGGAGATAAATTACATACATTAACTAATTAATAGCAGCAAAACCTCTTCGCGTTTGAAGGAATCACAACTGAAATCGGAACAACAAAAAGTGGTAGCGGGCTGGGCTAAGAAGACAGCGTATGGACAGGACCATATATCAATAAGTGTAGCACATAGGAGTATAACTCATTCCGAACTATGGCGGCACGGTCCAGCGGCATTTTACCCAACCCTAGAGTCGGCCTCACGAGTATCGTAGATGAATAAAAACTGGTTTTGCCCCGAGTGTGGCCACCGAGTGATAATATATGATCGTGAAGTCTGTAGAATGTGCTCTGTCACGAATTTTTCAAAATTAGTATACTAAGAGGTCGTATCGGAAGCGCAGAATCTCTCGGAGATACCCATAATTTTCCGGTATCACCATCGTTCTGCATACCCAATTCCTATTGCTGTCTTGAATGAAGAAAAAAGTATTTCCGTAGGGTCTCGATATTAGTAGTAAAATATGGCGATTCTTGACAAAACTTCCACTCCTCCCTTGCGACTAAACCAGCACCTTGTCCTACAGGCTATTGCAATCTAAAGGTTCGGGTATATTGTGCACGAGATCCCACTTCACCAAATAGTATCGCACACCGACCCACCACCCGACACCCCCCAAACCTGTGATACCACTACTTCCGACACCCTATGACACCTCACTGGCGTGATCCCCTGTCCGACAAACTTCGGGAAAGTACGACACCTGACAAAGACACCACTCCGACACATACCGAAGCCATCCAACCAACTTTCTCCAAACCCTGCACTGTACTCGCTTTCTAGCAACTTTGGGCAACTCCTCCAGAGTGCCTGACAGTTCAACATGATTTCATAGTTCAATATGACTTTGTAGTTTATTATTGTAATTTTGTGGCTCAACATGACATTGTGGTTTCTGATAGAAATTTTGTGGCTCAATCCACCCTTATGGATTAATCATATGATACTATCATTTCTCTCAATCCTTTACAGCTCCAAATTGTCCTTTTATTTATTACAAGATTAGTAGTTTACCAAATGTGGATTCTACTATACATCTCTTTTTATAACTTTGTTTTCTGCATAATACTATTACTATCAGCCTAGATATTTTCTTCTAAAAGATATGGATTGTCTACTATTATTCTGCCTCTGACTTTATTTCCTTGATCTTTTTGATAAATTTCCTACATCATTTTCCCTCTCTGTCTATCATTGGCTTGACATTTTAAGTACTGTACAACTGCTTCACTGCCTACGCTACCTCTTCATTTATTCATATTTTACTAATTGTCTTACTCCAGAATTATATATCAGACTACTTCTTTGAGTTTTTCAATAGCTGCTTGCTTTGTACAGTACCTAGTATTTCAAGCTTCTTATACAGCTAGCAGGTATTACAAATTTTCCATAGTCAAACTTCTTATGATAATATATTGAGTGGCAATACTGTGATTAAGCCACAAGGTTTGATTGAGCCACAAAATTGCTATCAGAAGCCACAAAGTCATGTTGAGCCATAAAGCCATATTGAACAGTTAGGCGCTCTGGAGTGCCCAAAGTTGTGAGAAAGCGAGCAACTAGGAGTTATGGCTGCTAGCTACAACCTTGGCACGAGTACCCCTGACAACCCCACTGCACATCCAAGGGATAATTTCTATCGCGGGAGTGTGAAACGAAAAGTGATATCCAGTTGGCATATTTGGAGGGGGGGAAACAACGGATACTACAATTTTGATGCCGCCACGAGTGAGCACACATCTCTGATATCCTGTTGTATAATATTCTCGCTGATGCACTCCGATGTGACTGGGACATAGTATCTTGTTTTGTTTTGTGGATACAGGTGGATTAGGGTCTGCTTTCACTCCTGGCATCACTCCGCCCCGAAAATCGCTGGAGAGTCTTGGGTCAGAAGGTGAGAAACAGAGGAGTTCCTTGTTGACTGATCGTGCCGTGCCGACTCGTTGATGGTTTATGGTTTTCGTTGGTGGGTGGGAGCTTTTGATTGGATCAATGGGTGCAAATTAGTTGGATATTTGGTGTGTATCATAGGCAGTGTGGGTAGAGATGAGCATGGTGTAAATTTCCTGCTTAAATCTCAGCCTCACTTCGGCAAGAACTCTCCCCTTTCTGTAACCTCGTATGCACTATCATACTACCATAACAACACAAAGTCACCTTTTACTCACATCCCCCCCGCCGCCAAAAACTCCCACGCAAACCCAACTCATTCGGAAAAATTCTTCTATTCGAACGTACTACATACCTCGCCCCATCCAGCAGAGCACGGATAACCACAGCACAGCACTCGCACCCATAATCACACGTAATCACTCACTCAACCCACCACGACTCCCACTCCCAACAATCCTCTCAGCCCTCTCATAAACCCCATCACTATCATACTCCTTCTTAGGCCCCTTAACCTCATACCCAATCTCGAACCCCCTCAACCCTCCATCCCCCGCCCCACCCCCACTATCCCCACCACCGTTAAACCGAAACCGATACCTCGGCCAGTACCAATCCGCACGACAAAGGTGCTTCCCACCCCCAACCCAACCGCCCTTCCCATCGTTTGCACGTCCGGAGATCTCGACGTGGTGGAAGAAGTAGTCTACGCGCGAGCTGTCCTCCGGCTTGGCGAACCAAACGGTGATCGCGTTGTGCGCTGGGTGGTGGCGGTATATGTAGGACCTGCGTGTCTGAATTGCTAGAGGCGTGGGCATGGCCGGAGTGGGGATTGTGGTGAAAGTTCCGGTTTCGGTGTAGAGATATTCTTGCACCTCGCCGGACTGAACGGGTGGTGGGGGAATCGAGGGGGTTATGGTAGTGTTTGCGCAGGCTGGGGGTTCCTCTCGCTCGTTTGCTTTACACATGGTGTCGCCGTTACCTACAGGCGGAGGAGGAGTACATGAGAAGGAAGGGGGCCTTGGTAAGAACTCTGCAACGCCTTCGAATGTCCCCGAGGAGAATCCTGGATGCCTGGATACAATCTTCCTGCGAAGGTTCCATTTCCCGTGAAGAGCTTTGAATATGGCTCTGCTCAGGGTCCCACCCTTCGCTTCGTCTTCCCCCTTACGCTCAGCAAGTAATTCCGCCAACTCCCGAAGCGTCTTTTCCGCCTCCTCATGGCCGGGAGAGAAGTGTGCGGGAATCATGGCGTTAGGGTATGCTTCACTCGTCTCCGGCAGGATTGGCAGCCCGATTGTCCGGCGGAGTTCGTCTACAGATGCCGGGTAATCCCCCACGCTCCACTGAATACGCGCCTCGGGTGCGCGCGCCACGATCCGCGATGTGCGGGTTGCACGGGACTCTGAGATACCGAGTTCCATCTCTTTAGTGGAAGGCCAAGGGAGCTTGCCGGAGAGTAACCCAGCCATCCAGCGGCCCTGGAGCTCCATGGTGCCAAAGAACGCGCCTTTGTACATCCCCACGAAACCACCGGTGTTGCGAAAGGATGGGTGAAGGGATTGCCTGTATAGGAGCAATGGTAGGAAGTTTAAGTCCTCAGTGATGTCGGGGTCCTTGGAGGTGAGGTCGCAGAAGAGGTCTTCCGGGAGGAAGGATTGGAGCGAGGCACTCGGGTAGAAACCAGTTCCTAGCACGATTGTATCGACGCCCGTAATTTTACCGGTTGTAGTGTGCAGTGTGCTACCGTCTGCGCTCTCGAGGCGACCGATTACGGGCTTTATTGACCCACTGCGGACGAATTCCAAATATGAGTCTGATATCGTGACCCATGGTGTGTGGCGCATGAGGTCGTCTGTTATGTGCAGGTTCGGGTGAATATCCTCCTGTCTCCCACCAACCCGAGAAGATATGAACGTATTCATGAGAATGTTCTTCTCCTCCTGCGTCTGATCCACTGGCATTGGGCTCTTCCTTGGGAGGTTAACGTCGTACAGGATTAGGTCGTCGGGAACAAAATGGGGCGCTGAAGGGTCCTCCTTATGCGCGATCGGCAGAAACCTCGGGATTATCCAGAAGGACCGCGAGAAGAGATGCACGAGCTCGACCCCCGCACGCTCCTCCTCCGGCAAAGATGATATCCGCAAGGCGAGATCCGCCGCAACTTCAGCACCGCTCATGGACCCACCTACCACCACAATTTTCCTCTTACCAGAAAGCTCCCGGTGTGGCCATGAATACTCCACGGAATGCAAAACCGAGCCTGTGAAACCCTCCATCGGTATTGGAGGCACATAAGGCATAGAAAAGAAGCCCGAGCAGACCACCAAGAAATCGAACTCTTCCTTCCCTTCCTCCCCTCCATCGTCTCCTACCTCCTTCCAACCAACACTCCACCCACCCCCCTCCACCCTCCCAATCTCAACAACGGCACACCCCAACCTCAAACACTCATCAGGGATATACCTCCTCCGAAATTCCTCTAAGTACTCTCCAACCTCCTTGGCCGTCGGCAACATGGAAATGCCTGGCTTATATGCCAACTCCGGAAACACACAACTATACCTCGACAAGTTCGTCCGCATACCCGGATTCAGCGTCACACTTCCAGCGGCTCGAGACCAGAGCCCACCAACGGCCGTACGGCGCTCGAATATAACCGGGTGAATCTCATTCGCTAAGAGGGATTTCGCCGTTGTGAGACCGGAAGGACCGGCGCCGATTACGGCGGCGGTTTTGCGCTTCATTGTTGTGATTAAGTGGTGGTAGATGGGGGCCAGTTGGAGACCTGGCTAGTGGCGGTGGTGATGACGGTGGTCGATGGAAGAGATAAAGAGAGGGGGTTGATTGGAGTGTGAGGGAGAATTGAACTATTATTAGATAATCTAATACCGGTAACTCGGCTTCTGCATTAACATTTTTCCGGGCGGTTAGCAGGGAGAGAGTTGGTAGTTGCTTGCTTACGTTATCTGAGTGGGGTCCGGAGGATGCTCTTGTTGGTTACAAGTGTTCAAAATATGATACGGTATGTAAGATCTTAATAACTATCTTAAAATACGGGCACAATATGAAGAGTATATCGTGAACACCCTTAAGCGCGAGGAGGAAATAGTAGTGTAGCAGCGAAGGTAGATTGGTAGATGTTCTTAGCCTTAATCCTCTTGAGCGAGATGGGCGCTAACCTCCTTTTTATACAAGTGCATACAGTCTTTTCGGGCTTTGCGAGATTCTCGAGTTGGGACAGTGGCTACTGAAAAGTGAGAGTGTGTCATCCTAAGAGCATACTTAACCTATCATATAACAGAATTAATGACTCTATGATAAGTGATAGTGTAGGATCCAAGTACCATAGTATGACAGTAGATATAAAAGTTCCAATTCTGGCAAATTGGATAGAGGTATGATACTTCAACAAAAAAAGAGTTATTTCTACCACATTTACAATAAAACATCCTGTGATATAGTATTGGAATTTCCTTCAAAACCTTTAATGCTTTCAGAAATCTTTTATCTTAATAAAAAAGAAAAAAGCATGTGGAAATTATATAAATTGAGCAAGAACTATATAATAAATATATCTTAAACTAGAAGAGAATCAAAGAGACTTATAGTACTGTATATTCAAACTAATAACATGTAATGAAAGGTCTAGGAAGTAGGCAAAAAAAAAAAAAAAAATGAGCCAACAGCATGTGAGGAATATATTTATATTTCAGATAAATATAGTCTGATGAGTTTAAAGCTGTAGTTAGCATAATATGGTATAGTAAACAACAGAATACTTAGTTGACTATAGTTACAAGAACTAAAAAAAAACTGTTAAAAAATATTAAGTTTACTATTTTATTAAATATTATAATCAGCTAGTCATTATAGTACACTTATTAAATTATTATATCTTTTAAGCAAAGAATTCTCTCAAATTCCTATATATTTTATGGGAATTTCCTGTACCGATTCTCAGGATCAAACATTTCTACTCTTATATTTTTCCTACTTATATTATAGTTTAATAAAGTCATAGTCATACTTATATTTTCTCTATTATATTTTTCAGTTATATTGTAACAAGTACGAGTACTCAGTTAAGGATTTTGTTTTATGTTTTGTTTTAAGTATCGCTCTAATACTTGGTTTGTTTTAAGTATCAGTTAATATTTGATTTTATTTTATGTTTTGTTTTAATATATCATTTGATACTTAAGTTGTTTTTACCAACGAGTATCATTCGATACCTTAGATTAATTTCATCTATACTAGAATTGATATCACGAACGTGGCTTAGCATAGAGAAGGTTTTCACATGACTCATAATTATGAGTCATAGGTATGTTATGGTCACGAATGTGGCTTGGCATGGAAAAGGTTTTCACATGACTCAAGATTATGAGTTATAAGTATGTTATTACTTTATGCATGTGACTCATTTAGGTCATATGACTTGTTATATTATGATTTATTACGTTTCGCATATGACTTGATTATGAACTATGAGATATGCACCTGGTGAGTATGCCTTGCAAGTATGCCTTGTAGGTATATCTTGCGTATATGACTTATGTTTCACACATGGCCTCATTACGAGTTCATAGATTTTACACATGTGACCACTTGGGGTCATCTGACTTGTTTATTATATTATGATTAGTTTATGAGTTTTTGCATATGACCTTGCTATAAGGTCATGGGTTTTGAGCATGTAACCACTTTGGTCATATGACCAATTTGTTATGATTTAGTTTCATGCATGTGACCACTTTGGGTCATATGACTTGGGACGGGAAGAATACTATATAAGGAGGCCGGTATGGCTGAGGAGAATAGGTTCTTCATACTTTGTTCTAAGTACTTTTCCTACTTATTACTTTAACAAATATAAAATACCTTTATGCTCTTTATCATTATCACCATCTTTATTGCTACTACGATAAGAATATACTTCAAGAAGGAGAGTTAGAGAAAGTTTACAATAGGTGTTCTCAATAGAAGACAAAGGTCTTATATTATCAGTAATGTAGGCAGAGACCTAGTACTATTGTAAGGTAAGAAGAAGAATGAAGTAGAGAAGTATCATTCCCCATTTCCAAGAACTAACTATCTAAAGGGGGATTGTTACAATTGAACATATTTGTATATTTAAAGACAGTATAATTCCACAATGGAAAATGGAGACTTCAACAGACTGTATTTTAATATACTTGATTGAACAGTTACTTCTTCAGTTTTCCCAGTATCAACCATCATACCTCACCCAGAAACGTGATTAGTATCTAATGAACATGTTACAATTTCAAAATCAAAATCCTCTATAATGAGTTGATGAATAAAAATCAAATTTTAACAAGAGATATAAAATAATACTGATATTTAGATAAAGGAATCCATTTCTCATTTTTTAACTTATCTAGTTTCTATTTAGCAGATACCATTGGATATCACTAAGAAATTTTCAAATGTTTGAAATATATTCTTTATGCATCAGATGCATAGGATGTACCAAATACAAACTGCCCTTCAAGATACAAGAGGGCTTTTTTTTGCTGATATAGACAGAAGTCTACAAAACAGAGATACTATTATTCAGGTACCTTAATTGGACATGTCATATCCTATTAGAAGGCATATGTACTGACTTTACAGGAATTTACTCATTCTAAGTAAGATTTATGAGACTTGTAAGAGACTTTTTTATTTAATAATTATAATATTATACTGATATAACTTGAAATTCCTACCTAAATCTTATTATAGAATAAGGTCTATCAAAATGCAAGTATTATTCAATTAAATTTTGTAAACAATAAAGTATAATTTAACCTTATATAATGATCCTACTCCTCTTATATTAGTTCTTCAACAGGTAATGACATTACCTTCTCCTTTTCAGGTATCTCAGTAGCTCAGAGACCTCTTATTTATGTTACTTTATCTGATAATATTTATTACTATATCCTCTTAATCTCACTTTCAATGATTTAAGTGAAAACTCTTTCTTATAGTATCACCGGAGATGTTTGTGTGGAAATAAACATACAGATTTAACTTGTAGTATAGGAAAGAACTTAAGCAGTTGCATGAGAAGTCTTCACAGAAGGTCTTTTTTATTTTTCTAAATTCTTATTTTTTATTTAACATGTATTTATTATTAAGATATAAGAACTTGCATACAGTACTAGATATAGCATAAACTGTTAGAAGTACTGGGATCCAATACCTAGAAACCACCCTAAGTAGGGTAACCCTACTCAGAATCAGAATCTCTGATCTCCAACACTGCCCTCCGGCCCCTTTACGGAGCCTGCACATTGTCATACATATCTATCTTAGTTGTATCCTGTGACTCTAATGCTACTAAATTGGAGGTACTAAAGTAATATGGTATATGTTACTACTGTCCTTCTAAATGGATCCTATTCACAAGATATATGAGAGGGGACATTCGGTAAGGGCTGGGAAGTTGAGCAGAGTAAATCCGTCTACTACTAATAGAGTTACTAAGCTTCAAAGATAAAACATCTATAGTATAGGCCATAGGTAACAGAAAATTTTCGCACAAAAACATGATATTGGATATTAGAGGATCTTCGTGAAGAACCAACACATTCACATCTACCCTACAATAATTAGAAAAGTCTTGAACCCCTGAGGGATACTACCAAAGAAGTCAAAAGACTTTTCGGAGTGTTACCACTAAGTTAAGGAATATATGAGAGTTG